TGGCAGTGTTTGCCATTTAATCCTAAAGTGGTGATTAAAGATTAAATTGCCACGGGGGGTGTGTGATTTCAGAAGGTGATTCTGGGGGAAGTTTTGCTCATTGCTGCAGCTGTGGGGCAAAGTTTCTTAGGGCTCTTAGGAACTCCTGTTAATACCAAATGATGGGGCCATTACACTTCACTGACAGCAGAAGGATGGGAGGAGCACGTAGTGTGTGATAACCTTTGGGGGGTTGCAGACTGCCAGAAATAGTGCAAATTGAGTCCACTTTTAGGGTTAGGGTTAGTGCTAGGGAATCATGGGAACTGTTTTTTTCCTGAGAAATTGAGCCTTCTCTGTCAGAGAGCTCTGGTGCCACATTAAAATGCAGTTCCCATGATTCCCTAACCCTAACCCTAAAAGTGGACTCAATTTGCACTATTTCTGGCAGTCTGCAACCCCCCTTTGTCCCGATTGAAAACAATCTGCTTTGCTCCCTTCTCACTCCGATTCAATTCAAGGTGATGGTTTTGACCTACAAAGTTATAAATGGCTTGGGGATAACATATCTGAAAGACCACTTCCTCTCATATGAGCTTGTATGAAATCTGAGATCTTCAGTACTGCATATCACTTGACCCTGTATAGCTAGGTTGGCAGATGCACACAACAGAGTTTTGTCTGTAGCAGCACCCTGAATGTGGAACTCCCCCCCAAGGGAAGTCAAGCTGCCTCCATCATTTTTGAGTTTCTGGCAGGCAGATAAGAACCAAAGGTATTATGTGACCTTTGGTTCTTAAAGGTCCAAGTGGCTGCTCTAGCTGTTTTAGCTATCTGTTTTTTAAAAAACTGTTTTAGGGAGTTTTAAAAGTCTGTTTTTGTGGGGTAATTTAGGTTTTCTAAGGCTTCAGCCTTTTTAAGGAAACAAAAATATTTAAATATCAAAATGTGAAAGTCAAGCCTGTTAGAGTCTGGTTTTAAATTAGCAAAGTAGTAGAAATGTAACTTTGCCTAACTAAAGAGCCAGTGTCCTGGTGGCTTGGAGGGATGGATTTTGCATGAGGCTGCTGTGAAGCCACCCGAGTGACCACATGGCAGCAGCATTGCAGTGTTCTGGCAGCACGGCATTTAGATGCCGCATGCTGCAGAAATGTGAAAAAACCACTGTCGTAGTGGTAAAGGGATCTTTTCCCTGGTGCAAAAATGAGCGGCATTTTGCTGTTTTTTCCCCACTGAGAAAATGCTGGGTTGGGGCCATGACGTATGGTCACTGCGGTGCTGTGGTGCATGGGTATGCAGCAGCCCCAACCCAGCATTTTTGGTCCATTTGTACTGGCCCTATGCTTCCCTAAGAAATGAGACTGATTCCCAAGAACAACAAACACATAGTTTGTAGTTTAAAACAATGGCTTTAATCTATATTTATACAAAAGGCTATATCCTAATCTAGGTAATTCAGGTAAAGAGAAATATTTTTCTCAACATCTTTCAAAAGAAACCTGATAGAGCAGGAAGATGGAGGACCAACAGCTCAGTTGAAAATCTTGAGAGAAAGAATCAGTTATTCCCAAGAGGGGAATGACCTAAATCACATGGTTAGTTTGCATAAGAGAGGGAAAGAGAGAGGAATTTGCAGATAGGAAATCCCTATCTATCTAAGGAAGGGGAAGAGAATGCAAAAATCTTCCAACAGTTTTAAAATGTTTCTACTTTTCCTTAGAGCTCTGGTGGGCTGAGTCAATAAATAAACACTTTAAATAAATGAAATAAATGGATATTCCATACCTTCAAATTGTCCTGATTTGTAGGGAGAATCTTAATTTCCCCATTGTCATTGTACTTTGCCAGCAACTTTTAAAATGTTCCAGTTTCTATTTTGTTCTCCTGTTTCTCCTTTTTGTACTCAGCTTACCTGAAATGATGTAAACTGAGTTCCAAGTGCAAAAGTAGTTTGCACTCCATGACTCGGGGGGGGGGGGGAGAGGAGAGGAGTGATGAGGATGGGATCTTGACCTTTTCAGTAGGCTCAGGCAAAAGCAAACTGTTGCAGCCTCTTCTAGCAATAACTTTTCCCATCTTGACTGCACTCTGATGTTGTATGGCCACACATTTCCCAGTTTACATCTGCGAAATGTTGGAGGGTGTAATATTTCATCAGTGTTGGATGAACCTACACTCTCTTTAAAAACTCAGGTTTCAAGTTTAGATGTACTACTTTATTCAGGCCTGAACTTGAATGTCAAAGATTCAGCAATGGTATTACCTGACTACATGCATGAACACATACATGTTCTGAGTAACACATGCCTATAAAGGATTTTGTGACCTAGGCTGTATCTGAACTGTAGAATCAATGCAGTTTGATACTGCTTTAACTGCCATGGCTCAATGCTATGGAATTCTGGGATTTGTAGTCTAGTCCTCTCTGTAAGAGAGCTCCGGTGCCACAACAAACTTCATATCACAGGATTCCATTATGAGGGAGACATAGCATTTAAGGTGGTGTCAAATTGCATTATTCCACAGTGCAGATGCAGCTCTAGATGAAGCAATGTATCAAAACCCCCCAAATCATCTACATATTATATCAGGGGTCCCCAAACTACAGCCCATGGGCCGAACCCGGCCCGTCGAGGTCTTTGAACCAGCCCGTGGC